CATAGGTTTCCTGGAATCCTCCATTAATAATATCTTGTACAAAAGAACTCTCTATGAGAATTGGGTAGCAGGGTGGTTTGAGAGTATACTTCTTGATGAGTGTAGATATTCTATGTCACTAATTTAGAATGCCTAAGGATATTTTAATAAGCTCTGCAATATGTTAAACACTGTACTAGGAACTTCGTGTAGAAAGGTGGATCAGATACAGCCCTACCCCCACAATGCTCATAGTCTGAAAGGGAACCAAGATTTATATACAAACAACTGTAAGATACTAAATTTCAAGGGCTTTAAGAAGAGTCCAGATAAAGGCAATTCATTCATTCATTCAATTAACAAATACTTATTGAGTGCCTCGTATTGCCAGGTAGTGTGCTAAGTGTTGGTGATACAAAATGCTTAACAATAAGATGCCTACCAACAAAATTTTAGAAAATGAAAAAAAAAAGTGTCATTTATAAAAGCACCCAAATACCTGTTAGTAAACCTAACAAAAGACATGAAATATCTTTACAAACATTGCAGAGAGAAATGAAAAAAAAAAAAAAATGACCTAAATAAGTAGAAAGATATACTATGTTCATAGATTGGAAGACTCAGTATTGTTAAGATGTCAATATTCACCAAACTGATCTAAGTTTTATGCAATCTCAGTCACCATTATATTGGTTGCAAATTTATCAAGTTGTATACATTAAAGTATCTACAGCTTTTTGTATATAAACAACAACTGCATTAGGAACTTTTTGGTAAACACTGATAAGCTGATTCTAAAATTTGTATGGAAATACAAAACACTTAGAAGAGCTGCAGTAAGCACATTGAGCCCCAAAGATGCCTGCACCTTAATCTCTGGAATCTGTGAATGTTATGTTACATAGCAAAAGGATTTTGTAGGCATATTTAGGCTATGGACTTTAAGACAGGGAGGTTATCGGGGCGCCTGGGTGGCTCAGTTGGTTAAGCGACTGCCTTCGGCTCAGGTCATGATCCTGGAGTCCCGGGATCGAGTCCCGCATCGGGCTCCCTGCTCGGCAGGGAGTCTGCTTCTCCCTCTGACTCTCCTCCCTCTCATGCTCTCTGTCTCTCATTCTCTCTCTCTCAAATAAATAAATAAAATCTTTAAAAAAAAAAAAAAAAAGACAGGGAGGTTATCCTGGATTATCTGGATGGGCTCAGTTGAGTCATATGAACCCTTGAAAGCAAAGAACTTTCTTTGGCTGGAGGCAGAAGAGAGGCAACAAGAAAATTAGAGAATTTGAAATATGAGAAGGAGTCAATGTGCCATTGCTGGTTTAAATATGGAGGAGGCTACCTGATAAGGAATGCAGGGGGCTTAAAGAGCTAACAGAGGCTCCCCACTGACTATAAGCAAGGAAACCGAGACCTCAGCCTTACAGCCATAAAGAACTGATTTAAGCCAACAACGTGAATGAATTTGAAAGAAGTTTGTCACCGAGAACGTGCAAATACAAGCCCAGGATGGCTGATGTCTTGGTTTTGGCCTCCAGAGTAGAGGAACCAACTAAGCCAATTCAGACCTCTGCTCTACAGAACTGTGAGACAATGAATTTGTATTGTTTTTTTTTTTTTTTTTTTTTTTTTTTTTTTTTAAAGATTTTATTTATTTATTTGACAGAGACACAGCGAGAGAGGGAACACAAGCAGGGGCAGTGGGAGAGGGAGAAGCAGGCTCCCCGCAGAGCAGGGAGCCCGACGTGGGACTCGATCCCAGGACCCTGGGATCATGACCTGAGCTGAAGGCAGTCGCTTAACCAACTGAGCCACCCAGGCGCCCGAATTTGTATTGTTTTAAGCTGCTAAATTTGTGATAAATTGTTACGGCAGCAATAGAAAACTGGTACAATACCAAAGGCAATCTCAAGAACAAAAGTGGAGGACTTATGCTCCAGAAATCAAAATTCCTACCTTCTTGGAAACTACACTTTAATATAATGAGAACTTAAGGAGGAGAGGGTACAGCATTTATCAAAAATTGTCATGAATTATGTTAGGTATTTGCTCAGTAGGGCACTTCCCAATTTGGTTTCTTACTATGCCGTTAACGGGCACTGCTTATTTCTACTTTGCCAATATCATTGTTCCACATTGAGTGTGGAACACTTTCTCCCCTTGTCCTACCTAAATTCCACTAATGATTCCAGGTTATAGGCTCTATAAAAAACAATAACAAGAAGAACAACAAAATGAAATTTCTTTGAGTATTTTGGACCATGTTAATTGCATTCTTTTTTGGACTCTTATTATATTTAGAAAATCATAGAGTTAAGCATTTATTCTCTCATGGGTGTTATTGTAATCAATCTATTTTGTGGTACCCTCATGCCTAAGAACTGTCCCTCTCTCTACCACATAGTTCCAGGTGAAAGAATGGCTTCGGAGGCCACGTTTGTATCTTATGACCCTTTCCCTCTCTTGCCACAGATTGGATTGGGATGGACCCCAGGCCCAGGATCTGGGCTGATTGGATTCTCTGGAGAAATTGAACCAAGTACTCCAGAGACAGGGTGTGGTAGTGTGTCACTTAGTGGCCTCCAGTGTACCTTATCTCCTAAATAGGTGGGATAAGTATCCACACCCTTGTGCAGTCCCCTCCCTGTGAGTCTTGGCTTTAACCAAAAGAATGCCACAGAAGCTGTGCTGTGTCAGTTTTACTACAATGACCATGTATTCATGCTTATAATTGGAAAAGACATCAAAGTGTAAAATGGAGCTAATGGCACCATAGAGTTGATCTGAGAGTTAAATGAACTTATGTTCATGGAGTGTCTTGCCTGGTGCTTGCTACATGCCTGATAGTTAATTGGGGGCATAAAAATGTGAGTTGCATTTCCCAAGTTAATACTTGGAGACTGATGGTTTTCTGAATTATTCTTCAAGTAGTGTAGTTATTGAATGCCCAATTCCCTTAGACTAAATATGGTTATGTGTGCCATAAATGCTAAGAAATTGGATGGCGTCTGTGGCCCCAGAGAAATGCCAGAAAACCTGCAAAAAACACATAAGATCAGATCAGAGGCTGTGCTATATGAGCATGGTGAACCAACTGAGCTAACGAGTTTATAGCTCATGGGTCAACCCATAAAACAAACTCAAGGCTGCTCACAGAAGGCTCTTTACCTTCCCTGCTACCATGTGAAGAGACAAAGTCTTGCCCTCCCTTGAGTGCCAAGCTTGGAGCTGAAGTTCAGCTCTTTAATCCTCTGCTGTCTTGTGGAGTTGTGTGTCAAGGGATAATAAACTGAGAACTCACCATGAGCCAGATGTTGGTCTAATGACTTGATGTATGTTCACTTATTTCATTTTCCCAATATCCCTCATGAGATGGCTACTTCAAATAGCCTCATTAAGAGATGAAGAAACTGAGTTAGGAGAGGTTAAACCGCTTTACTTCAAACAACTAATTAGTAGCAGAGCTTGGATTTGACTTGGGCAGTCTACCACATTTGTGTTTTTATCACAACATTTACATGATCAGCTATGGAATGAGAAATCTCAGCACGAGAATTCCCTGGTGTCACAAATTGTAGGTACCCTGAGAACAATCACAGAACCCTGCTTGGTCAAACTCAAAGATCAAGTTTGTTTCTCTACTTACTTTTAGACTGCTCTTTTCCAGCCACTGAAAAGAACTGTATCTATGACCTTCTCCTTGTCTTACTTTGTGGCATTTCTCTTCCTTCTAGCACACAAAGGTCAAGGATGTGGTGGGCCATTTTCTGGGCATATCTTTGGGCCAAAAGTAGCTCTTTTAGGAAGCTTCCTGGGCCCTGTGATGGTGCTCTATCCTTTTAGGTTCCTGCACTTGAATATCTCCTTCTTCTAATTTCTCTCCCTGGTGTCCAGCCATGGTAATCTCCACAAATTATTTCTCTAGTTACTAGTCTGATTAGCTAAAATATAGGCATGGTTTTATATCTTGTTTAGTTTCTTTTGTTCATATTCTTTCCTCTACTGCCTGACTTCCCATTTTTCTGTTTCTTCTCAGTCAGTTTCTGACATTTGAACATTAATATCTAAACTACCTCCATCTATGTTAAATTTATATAAAATGACTCTTGCATGTACATCTGAAGAAATGGACTATTTGTCACATACCATTCACCAAGGTTTTGCTTTTCCTACAGTAACTTACTCATGATGGGACATTCATTTATAACGGAAAGTGGCCTTCTTTTTACAAGATTAAGATCTGAAAACTCGCACTGACTTTCTCCAAATTCCCACCTCTTGGTGTAATCTGGAGTTTTTCATATCTTTCAGTAGTTTAGTTCTATACAGGAAAAATTTGGGGACCAAAAGAGATGCCTTCTCTTATATACCAGGCAGATCATTATTTTCCTACCATGTTTGCTCACAGAATGGAACCTAATCTCAAAATCCCTTAGCTATGTTCTGAGATCCCTGATGAGTTAAACTTTGATGGAGTGAGAAATTAATCAGTTTCTGCTTCCAAGGTTTCTGTGAGTGCTACCAGACTATGCAAACTCACAGAAGCTTCTAACTGATATACAGTAATAATATGCAGGAAGACAGTGGCATCTCCAGTGGGACTGTGAGTGATCTTAGAGCATGAATGGCTTAAGATTCCAGATAATGGTGCTGGTATTGGCATGTCTGCTCATCTGTTCAGGAAAGCATGCTCTTAAAATAGGTAATTTGAAGGGAGGTGTCTTAGCTTGGGGTCCCTAGAAGTGAACACAAGACAGAGATTTGGGGGCATGAGACTTCAGGAATAGCCTGTCAGGGAGTGGAGGATGCAGGGTTGGGAAGGGGAAGGATTCAAACAAGGCAATAATTTCAGGAAAAAGTCTAGCTTGACCTTGATCCATGGGAGCTCTGAGTCATAAACAGTGCCACAAAATTGTCTTACCTTGAGGCAAGGGGTTTCATGATTATTATTGTTATTATTTACCCCCTTATTAGTCAGTTACCTGCCATTGTTTCCCTCCTCCTTTGGTTGTATCAACTTCTAGGCAGTTCCTGGCCAGGTGGCTCTCTTCAGCGAAGTACAATTCTCTGGCTAAAGTTTCTCAGGTAAGCCATTAATAGCAACAATGCTGCAGCTGGGCAATGGGCACGCCAGCTGGAAAAGGGTTTGGGCTGATTCGGTTCCTAGTGATGGCTCACTTCCAGGCTGGTGATGACATCTTCTTGCTCTAAGGTCAGATAGTAAAATGGCAGAACTGAATAAAAACTTAGGTGTTTTCTTTCTACATAATTCCAGCATGTAGTTAAAGACAGGGAGGGTCTGAATCAGACTAAAATCTTCCACCTCTGTTTTCCTTTTAACTCCATGGTCATGGTCAGCGATAGGAATTTATATGTGAGGCTCTGTTGTTAAATACATGTGTTGGATCTCATTTTAGATTTTAGAGAGCCAAGCTGTGGAATCACATCATAAACTTGAATGGGGGTCTTTATTGAATGGGGATGGGAAATCTTTTGGATGAAGAAAAGAATAACTAACTTATTGTATATCCAAAGAAAAGACAATTACAATGGTATGTGTCCATAGCACTTTGGTTTTAGACATTAGATTTGTTCAGGAAATGAAGGAAATTATTTAAATAATGCATTGATCATACTCTCAAAATAAGAGCAAGTAGAAGAATAAAAGGGAAAAAAGAGAAGATAGTTGATTAAGGTGGAAAGTGGAAAAATTTCTTGAGTGGAATGACAGAGATTTTAGCACATAGTGTACGCAGATAAGAATTGGAACATGAGATCTTGGAGGCCAGATTAAATGTATCTAAGAATGGATGGGAGAAGCACATCCATCTAACTATCCCTTCTTAATGAAGGGATTGCTATATAACTGCTCTAAGACCAGAAAAGGTAAGTGATCTTAGGGAGGCGATGGGTATAATTCCCCCAGGGTTTCCTGAGTTTAGGAAGCCATTGGGGGATATCTCTATGCAACTGCAGATAGAACAATTGGGTATGCACCCCTTGAGGTGCATACCTGAGACAGCCATGCAATATTTGAACAGGTTTGAATGAGAAGACCCTAGAAGCCAGGATGAAACACTCACAGCACTGAGTCATGAATTGGAAGGTGGTACAGTTATCGTAGATGGGGAAGCAGGAATTGCCTGTGCCCCAGGGAACCTGCCAGCGAGATTTATGGAATTAGGATCCTCTCAAGGGAAGGCACAGGACAAATGAGAGCTACTACAGAGGCAAGATAAAAATAAACGAGGTCAGTCCTGAGTTGGCTATTGATCTGATGAGGTCATGCCTCCTGAGTGGGATTGAACGATTTAGGAAAGTGAAGATAGATAAGATTTGTTTCAAAACTGTATGCTTTGGAAAACTGCTCATTCCTTGACTTGGTATCAGATACTCTGGGGGACCCCAAAAGACGAACTCTAGAGGAGTAAGTTAGAAAGACAAATGTCTGGGCCAGAAAAGCAATATGAAAGCAAACAGAATGAAAGCACTAGTCAGCAAGCAGTTTTTGAGCTCTCAATAGGGAAGGCTAGAGGTCCCTTTAAGAGGCAAGGTAAACTGCTGACTTCTGAGCTGAGGCTTCTGATGGGAACAGAGGGACACAGAACACCAGTGGCCCATCTCACTCATGCAGAAAACAAATGGAATGGAAGGAAATGTTAAAGGCCAGAATTTTCAAAAGCAGAAAAAAGATAGGCTCTCCAGGAGCATAAAATAGAGGTATGGTCTTAGTGGGTCCCTGGACATAGGCCTCAGAGCCATCCCTGGCAGCATCCTGAAGATGCTGAAAATGAAACTGGCAGAATCCATGTGGGGTGGAGGTTGTAGAAATAAACACAGGCCATCCAAATGAGAACAGAGATTCTTTCCAGAGTTTGTTGTAGCAAGGGAGTCAGCCACCATCACTTTGTTTGGTAGAAAGTCAAAGGCAAGCACAGAATGGGAGAGCCTTATAGGGAAGCCTTCAAATGACCTTTGATTGGAGGTTATTGGCGTGGGGAGGTTATTGGCATGGCATGGCATGACTGGAAGTCAGACATCTTAAGCACCCGATTTGGCTTTTTCTGATTGGTGCTGAGCTGGAGCTGAGAGCAAATACTTGGGAAGCTGGCATGACTCTGACTGATTGCTTCAGAAGTTGTGGGTCTTATTTTCATTTATTCTCTCGCTATTGGCTATTTGTATATTTGGTCTTTCAAGAGTGAAACTGCCCCAGAGAGCAGGTTTCATAGGCCGAACATTTTCATAGTGGGACGACTGTGGCTTGGATTGGAAATGGGTATTCACATACAGAAGTGTAGAAGTGAGGTCCTTATTAGGAACCCATTCTCAATGCATCACTGGGGTGTCAGGGACCAGGGGTTCAGAGGGGAATGGAAAAGATGAGGTTTTGAATATGCAAGAGGAGAAAGTAAGTTACCTCCCTTAAGACCTGGTTATTGGGACTGTCGCCATGGCAAATTTCTAGCTTGCCACTCTCCAAGAAGAGAGCAAACATGGCTGGGTTCCTCTCCCCTCAGAAAAATATTGTGTCATAATTTAATCTCTTGATGTGTGATATTTCCCATTTAATTCTAGGGTCACAGGTCATGGATTCTGGACAACTCATATGGTATGACTGGCATTCAAGCAAGGCTCAGACCAAGAGGACTTTTTTCAGGCTACCTTATCTTCAGATGACACAGGGGCTGTGCTATGTATTTTTATTGAAATAATAAAGATTAGATTAAATACTGGTTTCTGGGTATGCCATTGTGAATACGACAGGTAGAGAGTTTGTATTTTTAAAATTTGGGGATGTATGGCTGATGCTGAGATACTCTTATGCCCAATTAACACTTGAGACTCTTTAGAGTTGCATGAGGGATTTGGGTTCCATTAATGCAACTTTGGAGTCTGGAAGGAACTATTTTCATTGCAGTGGACAACAACCCAGTCAAAGCACTGATGGAACTCTGTCTTGAGCTGAGCAAGGCCCTTTGAGATGAAGCAGAAAAATAACCTCGGGGAAATTGATTTGGGAATTTTAATCCCTTGGAACTCTTACTAAAGGTCTTTGTATTTAAGTTCTTTGGGATTCAATTTTATTCTGAGACTTTAATAATGGGAGGATGGTTGTATTTAAATTTGGAACATTACTATATTGTCGAGTGATCTTATAACTTCTGCTGCTCTATATTGGATAATATTGCTGTGTGTGAAACAGGAAAGTAAATCTAACAGGGAGGGAACTTTCAGTCTAGAACAGCAGGGATTTGGAGTAGTTATTTAATTTACTGTTCTTATCTTTTTCCAAAGCTTTTTTTGGGTAAAGACTAAACTGTCCTCCAGTGGTCCTAGGAGATTATACAAAAAAAGCACTGTCTGATGTTCAGGTGTTTCATGCAGGTGAGAGCAGAATCTCAGGTCTCTTTAAACATTATTGTGAGAGATTGGGAGAAGGGGTTTAACAGTACTTGGTCTGGAAATATTTATCTTGGAATTAACAAGAAGTGAGTGAGTAGGCTTTCATAATGGTGTTATTTTGGAAATATCATAAAGGATGTGGTCTTCCCCCTTTCAATCAGTGAATGGCCTCAGGTTGGACCCTCCAAAAGCAAGCGTTGGGACAAGGATTTGGGTGCAAGTGGTTATTTGGGAAATCAGGTGTAGGAACGGGGAAGACAGGAAAAGTAAAGAAACTAATTAAGAGATCATTCAGAAGAAGGGCTGCTGTGGGCAACTAGGGGTCGGTTCTGCTAACAAACCTTTGAAATGAATGCAGAACACACCTTGAACTCTCCCCCTTGGAGGTGAGGATGCCGGGGAGCCACCCACCAACTTCTACTACTCAGTTGTTGGGAGCTGTGCCTGGCTTGTTAACTTCTCAGTGTACTGGCTAATTATGCTTCTGTGGCCAGAGAAATGTAGGGGTTAGAGATGGGAAACCATCACTGTATATGGGAGCTCTCTTCCTCCTTTCTTTTTTAAATTTTTTTGTGCAAGTATAGTTAACATACAGTGTTATATTAGTTTCATGTGTATAATAAAGCGATTCAATAATTCTATACATTATTCAGTGCTCATCACCATAAGTGTACTCTTAATCTACTTCACCTATTCACCCATCTCCCCCCCCCCCCCCCCCGCCAATCTCTCCTCTGGCAACCACCAGTTTTTTCTCTATATTTAAGAGTCTTTGGGTTTTTTTTTTTTTTTTTTTGGTCTCTTTTTATCTTTGTTTGTTTTGTTTCTAAAATTCCACATATAAATGAAATCATATAGTATGTGTCTTTCTCTGACTTATTTCACTCAGCATTATAATCTCTAGGTCCAACTGTGTTATTACATATATATACATGCATGTGTGTCTGTGTGTATATACACACACACCACATCTTCTTTATCCATTCTTCTGTGGATGGACACTTGGGCTGCTTCCATATCTTGGCTCTGGAAAATAATGCTGCAATAAACATAGGGGTGCATATATCTTTTCTTCTTAAGTTGGTGGTGGCTTCTAAGGTGGGCCAAAGGAAAATGGGTAGATGCTGATGGAATCTACATAAGTCCACCTTCCACCCAAAATCTAATAGGGTCTTTTCTGTAATTTAACAAGCTGATACAAACATTCATTTGGAAGACAAAATGCAGTATAAAATCCAGGAAACTTTTGAAACACAAAATAATGTAGGGGACCTGTCTGCCGATTATAAAAACATATTATAAAGCTATACTAGGTCAAGCATTGGGGTATTGGTGTAGAAAGAAAAAACATTTGATGGAACATAATAAAAAACCCCAGAAACTGACTAATATATGTAATAAAATTTAGTATATGATAAAAAAATATTTTAAATATACAGGGAAAACGGTCTATTTAATAAATAGTATTGGCACGACTTGCTATCCATTTGGGGAAAAAGTAAGCTATGCTCCTAGCTCACACCATAACCAAAATACTTTCAGATGAGTTAGAAAACCAAATATATGCAAACAAACAAAAACTCATAGATTCCTCTCCGCTCAGAAAAATATTTTGGGTTCCTCTCCCCTAATGCTTGTCTGTTGTAAGTGTATAAGAAATGACAACAAAAATGTGTGTTGTTAAATTGTTTTTTTCTGGCCATGGAATGTAGTCTTCATACATTGTACACACAAAGTTCTGTCACAGTAGCAAACCTCAGGGTGCTATCTCCCACTTGATGCCATAATTGCATCTTCATTGGGCTATTTCAGTATTCAACTCCGCTAGCTGCTTCCAGGTCATGGGGACATGTGAAGACCAGTAAACCCTGTGAGTGAGTGAACCTATTACTGTGGTATTTTTTCAATAAGATGAATTCCTGGGTCAGAAATAATGTTGTGTGTGGATACTATGATGATGAATAAGGTATTCGGTAAGCACATGGATGGTGTTACTGCTACAAGCATTGAGAGCAATGAGGGCAAATGCAATTTTTTAAAAAAGATTTATTTATTTATTTTAGAGAGAGAGAGAGAGAACATGTGCACAGGGCTGGGGGAGGGGCAGAGGGAGAGGGAGAGGGCAGAGAATCTGAAGCAGACTCTCCACTGAGTGCGGAGTCTGATGCGGGGCTCAATCTCACTACCCTGAGATCATGACCTGAGCTGAAATCAAGAGTCGGACGTTTAACTGACTGAGCCACCCAGGTGCCCCAAAGGCAAATTCATTTTGACAATAAATGTCTGTTACCATGAACACATAATGCCACCTTTATGATGGAAATAGTCCAAAGAAACCAGCCTGCGCACCAGTGACTGACTGGTCCCTGTAGGGACTGGTGCCACGGGATGTAAGGTTATGTTTTCTCTCCTGCTGCTTTGTTTTTGGACAGTTGGAGTGTGACGTGTCTAGGTGTGCATCTCTTTGAATGTATCCCACTCGTACTTCATTGGTCTTCTTGAATGTGTCAATGAATGTTTTACGTCAAATTTGGGAAGTTTTGGGCTATTATTTCTTCAAACTCTTTTTGCTCCTTGTCTCTCTCTTCTTCTGGGATGGACTCTCCATCATGCACCTGTTGGTATGTTTGATGGTGTCTCACAGGTTTCTGAGGCTCTGTTCATTTATTTTTTATCTTTTGTCTTTCTCAAACTGGATCGTCTCAATTGACTTATTTTCACATTCACCAATTATTTTTTTCTTAGGTCAAATCTGCCTTTGAGACATTCTAGTGAACTGTTTACTTCAGGTACTGAATTTTTTAACTCCAGACTTCTAATCTAGTTATTTTTTTGAAAATAATTTTAAATCTCTTTATTAATATTATCTGTTTGGTGAGATGTCACTCTCATTCTTTTCTCCGGTTCCTTACACAAGATTTCTTTTTATTCTCTGAATATATTTTTATTTTATTTTATTTTATTTTTTTATTTTAATATTCTTTTTTTTTTTTTTTGCAAATTTAAATTCGTTAGCCAACATATAGTACATCATTAGTTTTTGATGTAGTTCTGAACACATTTTTAAAACCTGATCTAAAGTCTTTATCTAGTAAAGCCCAATGTCAGCTTTCCTTGGGGACAGTTTTTTTTTTTTTTAACCAAAACCACTTTTATTTTAGTCTTCAAAGAACAAACTGTTCTTCTTTTTCCAAGATAATGATGATTAACTTACAAAAATCGGCATTTACTATGCATCTTCAAAACATTTCCCTTTAAAGGGAAACAGCTTTACAGAATCCAAACATTAAAAGGTTAAAAAAAAAATTTCTATCTTGTCATTATAAGACAAAACAGAGTAAGTCAAGGAAATCCATTCATACTTCAGGACCTTCTCCTCCAGGAACCAGCATTGTTATATTATTTCCATTTAGCAAAATTTGATCTAATTTAGTGATCCTTCTTCCTTCTGGTGTGATTTCACTAGAGGTAGCAACTGCGATGGGTTAGTGGTAGTGTTAGTCGCCATGGCTATGCCGGAAGTGACCTCATCCTCGGGGACAGTTTTTATTGGCCGTTTCTCCCCCCCACTCCCTTTGTAGGGCTACACTTTCTTGTCTCTCCGCACGTCTTACAATTTTTATCTGTTGTTGAAAACGGAACATTTAAAATCTGCTGTGGCAACTCTGGAAATTGGATTCTCCTCTTCCCCAGGATTTGTAATCGTTGCTGTTTGTTGTTCCTGTTGCTATTTTGCAGATGCTATTCGTTTGTTTGGTGACTTTCCTGAACCGATTTGGTAAAGGCTGTATTCTTTGTCATGTGTGGCCTCTGAAGCCTCTGCTCAGTTAGCTTCGAGGTCAGCTAATGATTGCACAGATGTCCTGCAATGCTTTGAATCCACAAGTCTCCCAGCCCTTGGAGAGGGACTTTGTGTACTTTTCTGGGTCTTCAGTGCTCAGGCAGACATTGTTTGTCTTTTCTCTCTCTCTCTTTCTCTCTTTTTTTTTTTTTTTTTTTGCTTTAACCTTTACTTTCTGCTTAAACAGAGCCTCAAGATAAGCCAGAGGTGAAAGCTTAGGGTTTGCTCCATGTTTTTCTGGCCTTGTGCTCAGCCCTGGGCACATGCAGAGTCCTATGCATATATGCATAGCCTTCTAGATTCCCAGGAATGTGTCAGAGCTCTTCAAAGATCTTTATGAGCGTTGTTTACCTTTTACATTTCTTGGTCAACTTGTTGTTTTTCCCAGCTGTCACTGCCGCCCCAGGCAAGTGCAATATTAAATTGCTGCTGATTCTGTCTGATAAATGCCCCGAGGAAAAGGTTGTTCACACTGAGTGAACTCTGAGTCAAGTCACAGGAAGACCTGCTAGCGAGAGTGTCCACGGAACTGCCAGAGGGGTCAAATAATGATGATTCTCTGGAGTGGTGATTTGGGGAGCTCTGAGCCTATCTGTTTTCTCCAGTGGCTGCTAAGCTGCTAGTTTTCACTATGATTGTGGAACTATGGTTTTCAAGGCAACTTTGGAGCTAGGGGTGGGGGATGGGAATAGGGCAAGTTAAAATGCCACAAAGCTGGCTCTTCTTCCCAAGATTCAGTTCCTTTTCTTGAATAAACACTCCTTGGATTGTTGTCAGCCTTTGGTTAATTTCCAGTGTTGGAAAAGTTTGCTGACGTTCTCATTGCTTTTATGGAGAAGTAGGTTTTCAGGGCTCCTTACTCCACCATTCCTGCTGCATCCCTCTTTGCATATGGTATTTTTGATTCTGATTATGTAATATTTGCTGGAGTGTATATGCTAGGACCTCTTCCTCAAACCTTTTCTTACCCGTTTTCCAGGTT